TAAGCGACTGCCTTCGGCTCAGGTCATGATCCTGGAGTCCCTGGATCGAGTCCCGCATCGGGCTCCCTGCTCGGCAGGGAGTCTGCTTCTCCCTCTCCCACTCCCCCTGCTTGTGTTCCCTCTCTCGCTGTGTCTTTCTCTGTCAAATAAATAAATAAAATCTTAAAAAAAAAAAAAAAAAGCCTGTCTAAAATCATACAGCTCTTAACCACCATGCTAAACTGCTTCTCAATTTGAAAAAATGCAAGTTGCAAAATGCATGTTGTACGAACAGTATGGTTCCATTTCAATAAGAACAATTTTCTTTAAAGATTTATTTATTTGAGAGAGCGAGACAGACCGTGTGCATGAGTGGGGGCAGGGGGTAGGGGGAGAGGGAGGAACAGACTCCCAGCTGAGCAGGGAGCCTGACATGGGGCTCGATCCCAGAACCCTGGGATCATGACCTGAGCTGAAGACAGATGCTTAACTGACTGAGCAACCCAGACACCCAAGAACAATTTTTTTTTTTAAAGATTTTATTTATTTATTTGAGAGAGAGAGAATGAGAGAGAACACATGAGAGGGGGGAGGGTCAGAGGGAGAAGCAGACTCCCTGCCGAACAGGGAGCCCGATGTGGGACTCGATCCAGGGACTCCAGGATCATGACCTGAGCTGAAGGCAGTCGCTTAACCAACTGAGCCACCCAGGTGCCCCCAAGAACAATTTAAAAACTAAAAATTAGGGGTGCCTTGGGGCACCTGGGTGGCTCAGTTGGTTAGGCATCCAACTCTTGATTTTGGCTCAGGTCATGATTTCTGGGTCGTGGGATCGAGCCCTGCATCAGGCTCTGCACTCAGTGCAGAATCTGCTCATCCCCCACCCTCTGCTCCTCCCCCTCCCCCCCGCCCGGGCTGAGTCTCTCTTTCTCAAATAAATAAAATCTTTTTTTTTTATTTTATTTATTATTTTTTATTTTATTTATTATTTTTTTTTAAAGATTTTATTTATTTATTTGAGAGAGAGAGAAAGAGCAAGCATGAGTGAGGGGCAGAGGGAGAGGGAGAAGCAGACTCCCCACTGAGCAAGGAGCCTGACATGGGGCTCAAGCCCAGGACCCTGGGATCATGACCTGAGCCAAAGGCAGACACTTAACCATCTGAGCCACTCAGGTGCCCCTAAATAAATAAAATCTTAAAAAAAAATTAGGGGTGCTTGGTTCAGAGATTACTTAAAAATAAAATCTTTAGGGGCGCCTGGGTGGCTCAGTCGTTAAGTGTCTGCCTTTGGCTAGGGTCGTGATCTCAGGGTCCTGGGATCGAGCCCCACGTCGGGCTCTCTGCTCGGCAGGAAGCCTGCTTCTCCCTCTCCCACTCCCCCTGCTTGTGTTCCCTCTCTCACTGTGCCTCTCTCTGTCAAATAAATAAATAAAACCTTAAAAAAAAAAAAAAAAGGACGAATACAAATTGTGAAACTTATCTTAATGGGGTCTCAGATCTCATTTCCCAAAATAAATAGCAGAGAACTTGTCTCTGTTGGCAAAGGGATGGCCAGAGGGGGTGGGAAGCCACTAGTCAGGGTTAAGTGGGAAGCCACTAGTCAGGGTTAAGAACTGTAAGGTTCCCACCATAAAGTCAGCATTTACAAAACTACAGAGATGCTGGGCACTGTTCTTTCTAGCTTTTTGTTTGTTTGTTTATTGATTGATTGATTGTAATCTCTACACCCAGTGGGGGCCTCAAACTCACAACCCAGAGATCAAGAGTCACACACTCGAACCGAGCCAGCCAGGCACCTTGGCATTGTTCTTTCTAAATCAAAACTCCCTTTATCAGATTAGAGATTCTCCTATTTTATCCACTCTTACACAACTGCATTCTTTCAGGGGTACGGCCTCAAGAATTAAGGGGAAATTTAGATTTATATTCCGATGAGGGTATTCCCTATTTGTCATCTATGGGAAACAAATGTCATATACAACCTTGGAAGCCAGCTCTCTGGTCGGCCTTGTCCTACCCCTAGGCAGACCGCCAACCTGATGGGCTAGGCTCCTTGATTATTCCTTCGGCTCTCCGGGACTCTCAACACTGCCATGGGGCTGTCACAGGAGCAGGTTATCATTCCAAGGGGGATGCCTCACAAGAACTCAACTGCTCACTGCCCTGGGGGTAGAAGCTTTAATAAAACTGAAACCACAGGGACCTCAAAAGTCACAGCCAGTGACCATAACCACCAGAAGCACAGTTTCCTGGATATTCTCCTTGAGTTGTAGAACAGAAGAAAAAGGCCTTTGAAGGTTTCACTCAAATTGGGGAGCTGAACTAAAGTAGCACTGAGGTGTCCCTTCAGGCTGTTCTGCCAACTTCTCTGATTTGAACATCCCAAACCCAACCTAAAGATTGCATTTCCAGCCTTCTTTTCTGTAGGCCAGAACTCAACAAGGTAATTATGTTATTTTCTTTACTGTTACACTGGAGTCTCTCTCTATAGTTCTCGTCACTATTATCATAAAATGCAAGAGCTTTCTCAGATCCCTTTCTACACCCTTTTAACTTGTTGTTGAAGTTGCTTTCTCTGGTCTACCCCTCGAGAGAGCCAGGAATTCAAAACAGACTGTAAAGGAACCTGAACATTTATCCTCCTTTTTATTCAGGGTTTCTTGAACCCATGTACAGATGTGCAAACCATGCACCTGGTCTCTCTCTTTTTTAAATTTTTAAATTTTAAAGATTTTATTTACTTGAGAGAGACAGTGAGAGAGAGTATGAGCGGGGGGAGGGGCAGAGGCAGAGAGAGAAGCAGACTCCCCACTAGGCAGGGAGCCTAATGCAGGGCTCAATCCTATAACCTGCTCCAACGTAAGGAAACAGGTGACTTCCAGGAATTTCAACATAGTGAAGAAATTAAACTGGTGAAGGGTCTCACATTTCATTACAAATCTCCCAATGAAGGAATAGATATGGAAAAAAAGGAAACATAGTTGGGAATCCAGAAACTTGAGACCCAGTTCTAGCTCTATTACTGACGAAATGTGTGACCTTGGGCAAGTGACCTAACTGCTCTGGGCCTCAGTTCCCTTACCACACAAGAAATGAAGCATCTTGGACTACATACGTTCTGAGGTACTCCACAAATTGCAGGATTCTGAGATTCAGCATATAAAACAAAAATAGCTAAATTAGGGGGTAATTAGATTATAGAAGGTATCCTGGCTTTACCACTAACTGACCTTGCTCTCTTTAGGCAACTCTCTTGACTTTTTAAGTGAAAGGAAGTGGTCTTGGGGCACCTGGGTGGGTGGCTCAGTCGGTTAAGCGTCTGCCTTTGGCTCAGGTTTGGGCCTGGGATCAAGCCCTGCATTGGGCTTCCAGCTCAGCAGGGAGCCTTCTCTCCCTCTCCCACTCCCCCTGCTTGTGCTTGCTCTCTCTGTTAAATAAATAAATAAAATCTTTAAAAAAAATAAAGAAAAGAAGTGGTCTTTTTATTTAAGCAGTAGAGTCCTTAGACTGAAGTCACTACTTCTCTTAGAAAAATAACTTCCGAGGAATTCAGTTTCCTCACTTATGAGAGGAGGGGGTGGGATACAATGCCCCAAAGATTGTTTAATTCTAGAATGCTAGGATCCATGCTGGATTTACCACAGGGGATGGATGGATGGATGGATGGATGGATTTATTTATTTATTTATTTAGTAAGTAAGTAAGCAAGCAAGCAAGCAAGCAAGCAAGCTCTACACCCAGTGTGGGGCTTGAACTCATGACCCTGAGATCAAGAGCCTCTTGAAATCAAGAGTCGCATGGTCTACTGACTGAGCCAGCCATGTGCCCCACCACAGGGAATTTTATTTTTACTTTTTAAAAAAATTTTATTTATTTATTTGACAGAGAGAGACACAGCGAGAGAGGGAACACAAGCAGGGGGAGAGGGAGAGGGAGAAGCAGGCTTCCCACCGAGCAGGGAGCCTGACGTGGGGCTTGATCCCAGGACCCTAGGATCACGACCTGAGCCGAAGGCAGACGCTTAACGACTGAGCCACCCAGGCGCCCCACCACAGGGGATTTTAAAATTAAAATTCTTTTTTTTTTTTTTAAAGATTTTATTTATTTATTTGAGAGAGAGAGTGAGAGAGAGAAAGAGCACAAGAGGGGGGAGCGGGAGAGGGAGAAGCAGACTCCCTGCCGAGCAGGGAGCCTGATGCGGGACTCGATCCCGGGACTCCAGGATCATGACCTGAGCCGAAGGCAGTCGCTTAACCAACTGAGCCACCCAGGCGCCCTAAAATTAAAATTCTTTAGGGGGCATCTGGGTGGCTCAGTTGGTTAAGTGTCTGACTCTTGGTTTTAACTCAGGTCACGATCTCATGGTCGTGGGATTAAGCCCCACATCCGGCTCTGTACTGAGCTTTGCATGGAGCCTGCTTAGGATTCTCTCTCTCTCCCTCTGCCCCTCCCCGCTGGCTCATGCTCTCTCTCATCAAAAAAAATAAATAAAATTTTTAAAATTAAATTAAATTCTTTAGCACATTTTAATTGGTTCAATTTACAGAAGAATCCAGAGGGCACACAATTCCTCAAGAACTCATTTAACACTTGAAGTGAGGCCTATCAGGCCTAAAGGCCAGCAAGGACCTCCCACTTAGTCACCAACTGCAAGCACTATTTGTGTGGATGCCCTAAACTTCAACTTCATCGTCTACGCACAGCCTCTTTGCCAGTAGAGATGTATAAAAGATACAGAAAACACAATCCTTGTCCTCAAACTAAGGTATAGGCTTGCGCCCAATGAGTATACAAGACATAAAACACATAAAAAGACATAAAATTGACTGAGCAATTTACCAACAAGTTAATAGTTACTGTCAGACATAAATATGCACAGAAGAACAGACTGATGTGGGTTAATCAGAGAAAGCTTTATGCAGAAGAATCTTAAGAATCAGGTTTTCAAAAGCAGAGGGAATCCAGATAGGCTGAGAAGAGACCTGAAGCCTGAAACGGGATTCTGAATCAAGGCTCTTTACCTTCCAAGTGTTGGGGGGTAGGTTCCCTGTTCACAAGGCTCCAACCCCCTGAGGCCTCCACTCAGTGCCACTCAGGAGACGCTCCCAGTAACCCATCTTGTTGGCTATTGTCCGACTGAGTCTTCCTTCCTAGTGACAAGCTCCATCGCCAAGGGGATGGATGTGATGTCACAATCAGGAGCACTCTATTAATAGGAACAAGGTAGAAAAGGGTGAGTCAGGGGAACTACCTCCACCTGGCAGGGAGACTAGACAGACTTGGATCTGGCGGCTGGTTGGGGAGGATGAGGTGATTCCATTAAGGGCAACAGGTTTCAGGGCTAGGGCCACAGGACTGCCTTCTAAAGATCGAGATCACTGGCTAAGGAATCACATACACACACAGTCCAGAATATTCAAACACAGCTGAGAGAGGCAGAGAAAGGAACAAGGAAAAAGGTAAAGAACAACAGCTGTTTGAGACAGAAAAAGATTCTCTTATTCAGTGCACACAACCACAAGCAATGTCAATGATTCCAGATCTGTTGCTACACAATGCAGAGACCAGTGCTAGCTTACATGCACAGTACGATGCTTTGATGTTTCCCAAATGCTTTCACATAAATTACTGAAGTCATGTAAAAAGAATTCTAATCCTAGCCTCCAAACTGGAAAATATCTTCATAAGGAGAAGATACTCAAGAATTCGTACAGGTGTGATTCTACTTCCCAAGTCAGAAGATACTCCTGAGGGGATCAGCCTTTTAAAAAAAAAAAAGGGGGGGCGCCTGGGTGGCTCAGTTGGTTAAGCGACTGCCTTTGGCTCAGGTCATGATCCTGGAGTCCTGGGATCAAGTCCCGCATCGGGCTCCCTGCTCCGCGGGGGGTCTGCTTCTCCCTCTGACCCTCTTCCCTCTTGTGCTGTCTCTCATTCTCTCTCTCAAATAAATAAATAAAATCTTTTAAAAAATAAATAAATAAATAAAATAAAGAAGAAGAGGAGGAGGAGGCGGCGGCAGTGAAATGGGAAATCACTCCCAAGTGGGCGACTGGGAAGACTAGAGGTATGATTAGGCTGACTAGACTATCATTACCAAAAGAATAGGACCAAGTAAAGGGGGACAAGGCTTCAGATGAAGAATGCTGTGAGATCTACTCAATACTACACAGGAGAATAGTAACTATTCAAACTCGTTTCCTCCCCATCACATGGCTATCAACAAATTAAGGGCTGTGTTACAAAGCAATATGAGGAGGATCATTTTTACACACAAAACTGAGACCATTTCATCTTCTGAGTCCTGTACACATGCTCATTAGTTTCCTATGCTCATCAGCCACAACACGTTTAGTGTAATATTATTAAACTAACCAGAGAGATGAAGGTGCAATGTCAGACACACTTTCTCTTTGGGGGGTAGCGAGGGAGTTGTTTCTCCCTCATCCATAACACAGAGAAGACTATAATGCTGTTTCCATTTTGACAACACCCTATTTCCCCATAGTCTGGCATATGCACCTGTATTTCATGAAATGCTTCCAGGAACCACTGTTGCTGGTTATGCTCAGTCTTCTAGTGACAAGCTCCAGACTCAGAATTTTGCCCATGCTGGGATGTTCCCTTAGCCAGAAGAAAACAGGATTTTTCAACTGAGAGGAGGACCAGGAGTCAGGAGACTTGGGTTCTGGTCCCAGCTCTGCCAACTGTAGGACTTTAAACAAGCCATGTATCTCTTCTGCAGTTTTCAATGTCTTCACCTGACAAGTAGGGAAGATACCTGCCTTTATCTACCTTATATGTTGTCCTGGAAAGTCAAAAACATAATAAATGTGAAAACATACTGAATACAGCTATGTTTCAGGTAAGATATTTGTAGTAATAAAATGCAAAATAAATTTAGAGTACTGAAGGCTAGTGAGGAAATGCTTGAAAGGAGCTTGTTCCTTTTCGATTACCAGGAACCAGGCCCAGACACAGTCAGGTGGACACACAGAGTAGTAATATTATCACATCACTCAGATTGCCTACCACTAGTCTACCCCATTCCCATCTGGGGGAAAACTACCAACCAGCAACCCTATCAGCTTCTTGCCCTATTGTCGGACCCTAAAACCACCCATTTAGGAAGTGGTTAAACTATCACTATCACAGCCCAGTCCCCATGAACAGTGGCTCCTTCAACAGCCACAGATGCTATTACGGAGAATGAAGTCAGTTTCTGAATGGGGAAGATGTCTGTCAGTCCCCCGGGCAAAACACTCTCACCTCTCTCAGCTTTCTGCTCCTTCTCCAGCCCCCTCCTCCCCATTCCCCAATTTCGCAGAGTTCTGGGTTGGGGAAGGCTTTCCGGTGTGTGAAGCCTGCGAAAGGGCCCGGCTGCAACGCCAAGGAAGGGATGTAAGGAATGTGAGATTCCTTCAAGGAGGGGTGAGAGAGGGAGGGGGGGAAAGGAATGGAGGAGGAAGACAAGGCTGCCAAAGACAAGGCACGGGAGAGGAGCCAAGCTATGGCGCTTCGAGGGCGGGGGTTCAGATTCCGCCGCCCCTGCCCAGGCTAGCCCCCAGAACGTTCCCTCCCTCCCCTCCCAGCCCGTCGTCACTGCCCATTTAAACACCACGTTGTAGCCCCAGGTCCCCTCCTCCCTGTCCTCCAGTCAGCCCAGACCCCCTCCCGCACTTAAGACTCCACTACTCCAATGCACCTCCCCAACAACCCAGCCTCCAGCGCCCCTTTCTCACCTCCGGACTCCTCCCTATTCCTGCTCCCTTCCTCCATTTTTCATCTTTACTCCTATCCCTTCTCCTGTCCTCCAATATCTTGAACCCCCGCCCCAATCCCCGTGGGACATCGGCCCTCCCGTCCCACACCCTTTTTTAGGTGGGAGTCGGCGCAGGCGCAGTACGCACCGCCCTGGAAGCGGTCTGGACTCTCCGTACCCCGGCCCGGCTGGAGCTGAGGCCGCAGCGGCCACGGGATAGCTCCGGTGCCGGGTCCCAGCCTATCCTGGGAGGGGAAGGGGAAGGGGAAGGCGAGGGAAGGTTCCAACCACTCGTCGCCTTGTGAGATGGGTCCCTTGCCCCGCCCACCGCTGCTACGCAACCCGGCGGAAGTTCGTCACCAAACTCCGCCTCTTTGTTTAACTCGGATCTAGACGAGAAGCCAAGAGCGACCAACGAGGAGGGGGGACGATTACCCGGGCTTCCTCTCTACACCGGAAATCTTTGTGATCCCAACTAGGACCATATAGCCATTTGGGAGGGAGAACTCTATGTTCTTCCCAGCGTGAATGTAGGGGGCGGAGCCTGAGGCCGACTCCCGGGAGGGCTAGACTTCGCTTTGGAGGGGCGTACGAGTCCCGACTCCTAAGGTTGATGCGGTGAGGTGCGAGATCATTGCGAGGAGGCTGACCTGCAGTGTGACCTGCCATCTCCTGTTTCCAGAGCGGTGGTCAGCATCCCGGAGCCTCCCGACCCTATGACTCATAGTCACGGGAGTGGATACTGTAGTCTACAGGGCGACCACTGGGTGGAGAATGGGGGAGTGTCTAGCCGCAAAGCTTTGATCTAGGGTGCCCAACGGATTGCCCGCCTCTCTCCTAGCGGCACTCCTGCTGTATCTACGATGGCTCTCCGGACGCTCCTAGAGTTCCCTGAAACATCTAAGGGGAGGGGAGATAAGATGTCCCTCTTCCTACGTTATGCTTTGATTTCCTTAGGATATAACACCGTAATTGGGGGTGTGGGCGGGAGAGAACCTGGGATCCGAGGAAGGTCAAGGCGGAGCCTAAAGCGCTCCGGAAGGTAAGGAAATAATCAAGCCAAGACATTACTACATGACCTGTTAGGCTAATCTGATATTAAATAGTATTTGTTATGGCTATTCGCTAAACAAATGGTTGTGGTTTGTGTATATGTAACTGGTTTATACACAACATTACAGAAATAGAAACTTTTGTTGAGTTCCTAACAAGTCCCCAGGGGAACTAAAGGTTCGGGCCTCCTCTGTTAAATCCTCTGGGGGCGGGGGAGACCCTGGGATCTAGGGAGATAAGTGCATTAGGAAGAGGTGCCTTTCACACTCTGAAAGGGACTAATGCAAATGCTGTCCTCTGTGCCCTAGTTCCATTCTTCCAAAAAGGGTGGGTCGGCCTCTGGTGTGAAGGCTACTTTTTCCAAAACCCTGACGAAGCTGGGTAGTGCATTAAAGATGAGGACCCCAAATCAGGAATAAAGATAAGGGTTATAGCAGTGGGAAAAGAAGAAATTGTGCCTACTGCGTGCTAAGCACTGCTTTTTATATAACTTACGTTTTCTTGTCTGCAAAAGGGAATTACATATTTAAGAATTGTCGAGAAAATAAGTGAAGTGCTGAGCGTGTTTCAGACTTTTGTCCACCGTCTTCCAAAACCCCTGGCCCTTTTTCCAGGGTCACGTCTTAGAAATGAAATCTTGGAGCCTAGGTGTAGTCTCCCAGTCAAGTAAGGAAAATTGGGCCCGAGGCGCCCCCTGGTGGTCAATCTTTCTCGCAGCGCCAACCATCTGCGGGGCTCCTTTAATACTTAAAATCCGCCCCTTTCGCGGCGCGTGAATCTTGGGCCCCGATTGGCTGAGTCGGGCCGGCGGCGGGGCGCTTCGGGACAGTGCTGATTGGTCGGAGGAGGCCAACCGGAAACTTACGGGAATGTCCGCACTCCCGCGTTCCACCGGGCGCATCCGGCGGCGGCGGGGCCTGTGGCTCCCCCTGCGGGCGGCTCTGCGGCGTGCGCTGTCCGGCCCGCTGGCTGGGTGGGTGGTGGGCTGTGGGTGGGGGAGGGGATGGACCGAGTCCTGGGTTGTCCGGATGAGGGTTCGGGAAGGTTTGGCGAGTAAGATTCCATTCCTTGGATCTGCACCAGTTTCCCTACCCCCGTCTCCGTCAGCTCCCCGACTTTGGGGCTTGAGATTGAAAGAGCATCCCGGGACGGGGCCTTTCAGCCCCGAAGCAGCATATCCAGAGACCCTCAAATTCTGATCTTGAAGTTGGAGGCTCCTGGGGAAGTTCGTTTCTTACCTTTTAGAAGAATTAGAGGATTTGCGGCTGCCTGACCCCAGCCTAGAGTGGTAGGTAGGCCTTGGGAAGTGGAGTATGGGGGCGAAGACTCCAAGCCTTGAGCCTTCATTCCCTTTCCCCCCTTCTAGTGTAGTGCCGAGGCTCGGGCAGCATGACGACGGAGACCTTCGTGAAGGATATCAAGCCCGGGCTCAAGAATCTGAACCTCATCTTCATTGTGCTGGAGACAGGTGGCTATTCTGGGATGGTGGGCCCCTTGCGCGGCTTCTCCCGGTTGGGGGGGGGGAGGTCGGAGGGGGAGAACACCACCTCCGCACTTAACTAGCTACAGGGGTGTCAGGGCGCACCCCAAGAAACTGCTCACACCCAATCCCTCCTAGACCCTGGCCTGGAGAGTTGTAGTGGAGTGTAGGGTAGATGGAACTCACCAGATCCAAGCCTCCAGGGCCACTTGGGCCTCTTTCCACTCAGGGCCCTCTCCATGGTGCTGTCCCTCCATTCCCCCTCGCCCCACCAGTATCTAGATCTCATCCCTCTGACCATTTCTTCCGCCCACCCGCCCCAACATTTATCTGTTCCCTCCAGGCCGGGTGACCAAGACAAAAGACGGGCACGAGGTTCGGACCTGCAAAGTGGCAGACAAAACAGGCAGCATCAATATCTCTGTCTGGGACGACGTGGGCAACCTGATCCAGCCTGGAGACATTATTCGGCTCACCAAAGGGTAATTCCTGGTTACTCCTGGTTATCCAAGGGCAGTAACCGCCAAGGGGGTAGAGTTAAGAGTTAACAGCCCCTGTGACTCTTCTGAGTATTCTGAATCCTACTTTTTTGTGCCCCCACAGGTACGCTTCAGTGTTCAAAGGTTGTCTGACACTGTACACTGGACGTGGGGGTGATCTTCAGAAGATTGGAGAGTAAGTGTCTTGGGGGTGGGGCTGTAGAAGCACCAGGCCAAGGGGGTAAGTTTAAGGTTTGCAGTGAGGCAGCATAAGGGTGCACAGTCTGTGTCTTGTATCTGGACCTTTCTGAGGCCTCCAGCAGTGGCCCAGAGACTGGGTCTGAGGCTTTAGCCAATTTCTCCCCTTGCAGATTCTGTATGGTTTATTCCGAGGTTCCTAACTTCAGTGAGCCAAACCCAGAGTACAGTGCCCAGCAGGCACCCAACAAGACGGTGAGTCCCATGGCCTCGATGTAGGGAAGGAGGGCAGGTCAGGCCAAGAAGCATGGTGGAGAGCAAAGTCTGAGTATTTAATTTGTGCCTTCAGTTGCAGAACGACAGCAGCCCTACGGCTCCCCAGCCTACCACTGGACCCCCTGCCGTTTCTCCAGGTACACCTGTTCCCTTCCAGCCGCTGGTTCTCCTAGCTCCCCTTTTCTCTCCAGCCTGGAAAGATGCATTGCCTTCATCCCAATTTCTCTTCCCTCAGTGTATCCCCATCCACCCAGTTCTTCTCCCAGTTCTTTTGCAAGTCCTTGTGGGGAAAAGATTTAGGGACCTGTTTCTATCACTGATAGACTTCTGGTATTCTTGTGTCACTACCACTCAAGGACACAAATGAGAACAGTCTCTCTGCAAAGATTGCACTCCTTCCTTCCAGCTTGTTTCTCTCTGCTGCTTTGGAGGGTCCTTGCCCTTTTCGCCTTGCCCTTTCAGTTCATTCCACGGTTCTGATATGGATATATAGGACTTAACATGGAGTCCACACGGTATAGCTTTAGAGCACCAAGTAGTTCCCTTTTAGGGTCATCACTCTTCTTGAAACTAAAGACCCTTCTTCTACACCTTGGACCTCAGGATTATGATTCTTTCATCTCCTATACTTCAAGCCCCTGCTTTTTGATCTCTTGCTTTTGATTAGAATCACTCACCAACATCATCTCCTTCATCCCCTCGCTTTTCCTTAGGAACTGGGTTTTTACTGCTCTTTTTTCCTTTTGGGTCCTCTCCCAGCTGACCCTAGTACTCCCTGGGATTTGGCTGTCTCTTGCCTCTGATCCGTGCCTTAGATTTCTCCCTGTGTTACTAGGCTCCGGGCTGCTTCTGCCCTTCCTCAATCTGTGTCTACACCCCCAGTTGCCATGGTTTTCAGAATTGTTTGTGTCAGAACCACCAGGGTCACGTGGCTTTTTGGACACATCATGAAATAACATTTAATTCCACCACAAAAATCAGCATCCACGTTTTCTTTTCTTTTCTTTTAATTTAAGATTTTATTTATTTATTTATCGGGGGCAGGGGGAGAAAGCACAAGCAGGGGGAGCAGCAGGCAGAGGGAGAAGCAGGCTCCCCGCTGAGCAAGGAGCCTGATGTGGGACTCGATCCCAGGACCCCGGGATCATGACCTGAGCTGAAGGCAGACACTTAACCGACTGAGCCACCCAGGTGTCCCAACATCCATGTTTTCAATGGAAAAGATGACATATATTTTCGGGTCTCCATAACTCTATAATTTGTAAAAAGCATTTTAAATAAGGTACACATAAGCCTGTTGGCCCCTCGTATTCATCTGCCAGATGTTTATTCACTGGGTTATCTGACAGGTACAAAGGCTTAACAAAAAACATGGATGGCATGAAAACTTAACTTTCTATATACTCTCCTAACGTTTTCTATGAATTGAGGAAAAGGCATTATTTTTCCCTCTTGGCTACAGGTGTCTTAGTCTGGAGCAGCCGGGTTTAAGCAGGGATGTGGTTGGAGAACCACTAGCCTATGACTCCTACCGCATGTAGGGTTCATAGTGTCCTCTGCATATGAGAGGCAGGCCTCTATCTTCACTTAGCCAGGATGTCTAGAGGAGGATTGCCAAGGAATAAGACACAGCACCTGCCTTTAGGAGCCGGTAGTCTATGAAGGAGATAGTCCTACATACGGTAACACTGTGGGAGCGGCAAGGTTAGTCATATGCACTATTGTGGGCACTCAGGGAGATCATCCCACACACCTGGCTCCCATCAAACATGTAAGCTACCCACAAAAATGTTACTTATTGTTTGGGGGGTGTGAGTAATCATTGTTTTGCTCACTCTTACCTAGATTTTCCAAAATGAAAATGTGTATATCATTGTGATACCCACCACCCTTTTTTTTTTTTTAAGATCCTTCTTAACATTTTAACACAGAAATTTCGGGCCCTTCCCCTACCCATGCTTCTCCAGTTTTACAAAGACTTTTGATAAAGGGGCATTTTGTCAGAGGTCCTTGAGTAGAACTAAACAGCGAATTCTAGGTCTGACCTCCCTGATACAAAGCTGAATAAAAGAGAAAAATACCACACTAGGGCTCATGTAGCAACTTCCCAAATGATTACTCGAGGCTTCTCTGGGGCTCCGTGCATACAACCTCCACTCCTCGCAATTGGTCCAGTTGGCAGGAACGTGCAGCTATGCTTGATGGAGACCGTGCTCCTCTCTGGGAGCGGGAGGGAGGCCTTGGGGCTGGACCTCTCTCCTACCTTAGTTCTCTAATTCCTGTGTTTCTTTCCCTTCTCCCACTGCTAGCCTCTGAGAACCAGAACGGGAATGGACTGAGTGCCCCACCAGGCCCTGGTGGTGGCCCGCACCCCCCTCACGCACCCTCGCATCCCCCCAGCACCCGAATTACCCGAAGCCAGCCCAACCACACACCTGCCGGCCCTTCGGGCCCATCCAGCAACCCTGTTAGTAACGGCAAGGAAACCCGGAGGAACAGCAAGAGATAGCAAGACATCCTTCCTCCCTTCCCGCCACCTACCATAGCCCCAGTGTCTCCTAGAGCACACAGCCTTCTACTAGGCTGCTGGCTTTTGGGGGGCTGGGTGTGGGTAGGTAGTAGTATTTGAGCCACTAAATTTCACTGGAGGGGTGGTGAACAGTGGCCTTATCCACCCTAAGCCCATACTCCCTGCCTTGCCCAGCTGAAGCTGCCTATCCCCTGGGATTCAAGGCTCTCTGCCCGCCCTCCTTCCTCTTAGAAACAACAGTCACAGTCTGTTTCTGGTGTGTGTGATGTGGAAGTCAAATTGAATCCCTCCTTCCTAATAAACGTTACCGCTCTGTACTGGACTCCTTTGCTTTTTGTGGGAAAATGAAGAGGTTAGCAGTCGGACATTTGGGAAAGTGGGCTTTCCCTAGGAGGTCGAAGGAAGACAGGTTACAGGTAACCAGGCCTAAGCAAAGCAGGCCTGCCCCTTTAAGGTAGTTCCCTCCCCTGCCCCCTCCCTGCAGGTGACCCTTGCCCGCCTGCCTGCCTACCCCCCCCCCCCCCCCCCCGCACAGCTGGAACCAAGAAGGCTGTGTCCCCCTTCCTCTGGGCGTCCTTCCAGTCTCTCGCGGTCAGGTAACGCCAACCTCAACCCCCTGGACGATTGCCCAAATCAGACTGTGCTCCCCTGATCTTAAGCCAGGTTAGACATCTGAGGGGAGCCCAGATACTTTGTTCCTCTTTCCACCAGAGCTTCCCCTTTCTTGGCCACTGGTTCCCAGAGCTCTGGCTCTTACTCGGCTGGGACAAGGAGTTGCTAAGAACGGTTTCTTCGGTTTCTTCCGCACGCACCTGGGCTTGCCACTTACCTGCCTCTTTAACCCCTTTCCAGCCGAGGGACCCCCGAATCCCACTTTCCCAGGGAATGTGGGGAATGGGGGTTGGAAATGAAGGAAGCCCAGTACCAGATGTAAGGTGGCTGGGGGGGAGTGGTGAGAGGATATGCAGGGAAAGGCTAAAATGGTACCAACTGGGTCAGCGGGGTGAATTATTTAGAAGAAAAGACCAGGCTCAGGTTTTCCTTGGCCATGTGGCTTTTCCAGGGGCAGAGGGTGGCCCCTCCCTACTCAGGGGCCCAACCAAGACTGACCTTTGACCCCCACCCCAGAGACCGGTGAACCATTAACTCCTCTCTGACATGAGCCTTCCCACACTGGCCCCTCCCCTCCCTGACCCCGCCCCAAGGCAGGTGGGCTAGGAGTTGGCAGGGGGTGTCGGACCCAACCTTCTATCTGACGCGGCCTCCATTCCACCTGACCGCCTGGAGGCTGAGCCCCGCTCCCCTTCCTGACTCAGGAGCGCTTTGGCGTCACAGTAAGACCTGCCCAGGACCTGAAGTGACAGCTCCCAGACTGCCAGTGAGTGTGAGGCCCTGTGGTCTAAGGGGAGACCCGAGAGGTGGGGCAGGATTGCGGGGTGGGGTTTTGGGGACAGGATGGGCAGTCAGCTCTGGATCAGGTGAGGGAGGCACTCTGGGTCAAGGAAGGTGTTCTAGGAACTGGCAAATAAGAGGCTGCTCCAGAAGGAGGCGAGGGGGAGGGAGAAAGGAGGCTAGAAAGGGGGCTGCTGCTAGGTTCAAGGCCGGACGGTCCAGGGAATGAGAGTTCCCCGGGCCTGAGCTGGACAGCAGAGCAGAAGCCCAGGCCCTTCCTCCTTGTTCTTCCAGGGCACAGTCCTCAGGATGCTCCAAGCGGAATAGAAGCCAGAACCAGAGCCTCTATCCCATCCCCCCCCCAATTATGGGGCCCCCAGTGAGTCATCTGCTGGCTGGCTTGTGTGTGTGGATGACCTTGGGCTGGGTAGGGGGCTCGGCCCCCAACCTGGGCCCTGCTGAGCAGGAGCAGAACCATTACCTGGCCCAGCTGTTTGGCCTGTATGGGGAGAACGGGACACTGACCGCAGGGGGCCTAGCGCGGCTTCTCCACAGCCTGGGGCTAGGCCGAGTTCAGGCCCTCCGCCTGGGACACCACCACGGGCCTCCAGCTGGTCGAGCTGCAGCCCCAGCGGGAGACAATTCCACGCACAGGTACTGACCCTTCCCCCACCCCGAAAGGCCACATGCCCTGCTCTTCTCAGGGCTTGCATCAGTCTCCAGTGGCCTAGCTCTGGCTTCCTAAAATCAGATTCCTGGAATTACAAATTTTTCCAAATCTGACTCCCTGTATTCCTTCACGGCCCCCTTTGCCTCTGCCTTTTAATTCTCCCCTCTTCCAAATCCCTGGGCCCTTCAACTCCTTGCTCTTAGTCCCAGTGCTCAATGTCTCCAGGCTGATTTGGCTCCCAATTTGTAGCACTTTCGGCTGCGCCCCCCCCAATTCTCTCACTCTCACCCCCCCCCCCATTCCTAGACCCTTCTATAAATCGACAATTCTCAGATCCTCCTAGAACTGACATTCCACGGTTTCTGGGTCCGAGGAACTCCAGCTAGTGGCTGTTCCTTCCTTTCCCCCCAAAGCGCACTAGGAGCCTCAAGGGGAGTGTCTTTTTTCTTTTTTAAAGATTTATTTATTTGAGAGAGAGAGAGCACGCATGAGTGAGCGAGCGGGGGTGGGGGGGCAGAGAGAGTCTTAAGCGGACTCCATGCTGAGCTCAGAGCCCGACTCAGGACTGGATCTCATGATCCTGAGATCATGACCTGTGCTGAAACCAAGAGTCCGTTGCTTAACAGACTGTACCACCCAGGCGCCCCTCAAGGGGAGTTTCTTAAAGAACATGAGCCAGTCTGACTTGCTATCCCATCCATTCCAGATCACAGGACCCTGAGCTGAGTGTGGATGTCTGGGCGGGGCTGCCTCTGGGTCCCTCGGGGTGGGGTGACCCAGAGGAGCCAAAGGCCCCAGCATCACCCCACGGGCCAGCGCCCTCGGGCCTGGACCTGTTTCACAGGCTCCTGCTGCTGGACCATTCATTGGCTGACCATCTGAATGAGGATGTGAGTCTGATGATCTCTAGGTGTGGGGGAAGGACCATGGGATTTGGATGGCCTGAAATGTTTAAAGAGTAATTTATTTTTTAAGAAGATTTTATTGATTTATTAGAGAGAGAGCAGGAGCAGGGGGAGAGGGAGAAGCAGGCTCCCCACTGAGCAGGGAGCCCGACGCAGGCTCGATCCCAGGACCCTGGGATCATGCCCCGAGCTGAAGGCAGACTTTTAACCGACTGAGCCACCCAGGCGCCCCTAAAGAGTAATTTAATACAGTTAATTTAAAAAACCCAGTCCAGGTGTGATCTTAGGGCATGTTATTCCAGCAGTGGGATACGGTTCCTCTGGGCTCAGCGCACATGAGCCCACACCCAAATCTCCAAGACCTGGTTTAGGGACTACACTTGGCAAAGCAGAGAATCCAGAGAAACAGCCCAGGGTAAGATTTAGGGCTGGCTGTCTGGAGAGGAAACCTGCAGGGAAAGGAAGGCTGTGTTCAGCCAGGAAGTGGGCTTGTTCCATGTACACCAGAGGGCAGCAAAAGCTAACTCTGAAGCAGGCTTGGAGAGGGTGAGCACCCCTTCACAGGGGGCATTCAAGCCAAGGCTAGATGAACATGTGACAGGGCTGTTGCGAGGAAGGTTGGATGGCATTTCGAGTTCTTTCCCTTCTAAGATTCTGCAATGGAGGACTCTGGTCCAACCAACTCCCTCACCAAATCGATGAAGTCATCAGGGGCTTGGGAGGGAGGGAGATGGTGGCATTGTTTACTGGTCCCTAATCTGTATTGAGTTGAATATCTGCACTGGATTGAATATTCACTAATAGTTAACACACACTGATCATACAGAACTATCCCTAATCCGTGATGCACCTGCTGGGGTGAGCAAAGGGGACCCAGGAGAGAGACCCAGGAGTCCATGCAATGGAAGGACAGACATTAAAGATCTGAGTCACAGTTCTCAGCGATGCCCCAATGTATGACCTCCAACTCAACTCCCCTAGTGTCTGAATGGCTCCCAGCTGCTGGTCAATTTTGGCCTGAGCCCCGCTGCTCCTCTGACCCCTCATCAGTTTGCTCTGCTGTGTCCAGCCCTGCTTTATCAGATCGACAGCCGTGTCTGCATCCAGGCCGCAACCCCAGCTCCCCCAGGGGATCTTCTGTCTGGTCAGTGGGTGACAGTGGGTGGCAGGGTGCCTGGAGCCCTGGTAGGGAGTGGGCCCTTAGCCAAGCAAGGGGGTTCACTGGGGGTGCTGTCTCCCCTCGCACTGTATCTCTGCCCCACCTTGCTTCTGAGGCCCTCCGGCCGTCCCTAGCCTAACTTCAGTCCCTGCTTCTCCCCAGCGCTGGTCCACAGTGCCCTGGCAGTCCTGCTGCTCAGCCTCCCTTCTCCCCTCTCCCTGCTACTGCTGTGGCTCCTGGGACCACGTCTGTTGCGGCCCCTGCTGGGCTTCCTGGGGGCCCTGGCCGTGGGCACGCTTTGTGGGGACGCGCTGCTCCACCTGCTGCCACATGTACGTGAAGCCCCTTCCTCGCTCCACCCGCCCCGCGGAGGTGGACAGCCTCCGTGTCCCCAAGGGGTTCCCTCCCCCTTCCTGTCAGCCCCCACGCTGCACGCCCCAGCCCCGTTTGCGGCCCCCAGCTGCCTTCTAGTAGAGAGCGAAGGCAGGCTTGCCGCCGCCCGCACAGGAGGGGGCTGTGGTCCGCGCGCGGGCTTCTGGGGGCTTCTGCCCTGACCCCCTCGCTGGCAGGCACGAGGAGGGCAGCACGCTGGACCCAGCGGACCACCGGAGGAGGACCTGGGACCGGGACTGTCAGTACTCGGAGGTCTCTTCCTGCTCTTTGTGCTGGAGAACGTGCTAGGGCTTTTGCGGCGGCGCCGAGGCCTCAGGCCAGTGAGTGATACCCTCTTCTCCTCCTTCTGCCCAAACCGCAGTTCTGGCCAAGGGCGGGCCACACAAGCCAGGACTTGAGGCGCCGGCGGTCTGCTCCTGGCTCGGGGGCTCTGCCGTTTGCCTGAGGGGGCAGGACCCGACAACTAACAGGGAGTGGGTAGGGGCTCCTCAGCACAGACCCAGGATTTCTGGCCGAAGGGCCTCCTCTCCCAAGTCCAAGTCAACAAGAAACAGGGAGGCGCCAGCCCGGGAAGGGAGTGGAGAGGCCCCCAAACACGCCCAAGTGCTAGAGGTGAGCCCAGGTGTTCATTTCCCCCGCTGGGAGCCTGGCCGCTCCTTAGCCCCCGGCTCTGCTGCCTCCTCCACCAGGAGGGATACCCTCCCATTTCAGAGATGCTGCGGGCGAAAAAGAAAGGATCTCAGAATACCGGCCCCGGACCTGGAGGACGGCAGTGGGACGGCCCTTCAGCCCCTACAGGCAGCTCCAGGTAAGCAGAGAAAATGAAGAGTAGGCTCCCCGCTCCCAGCTCTCCCCTGCAGCCACCGGCACTGTCCTTGTCCTTCCTGCAGAGCCAGAAGCTCGGGGCCGCAGGGAGCAGGCCAGCCAGCCCCCACCAGCCCCAGCCCCCGCTGGGCACCAAGGCCACAGTCACGGGCACCAGGGTGGCGGTGGCGCCAACATCACGTGGATGGTCCTCCTGGGAGACGGTCTGCACAACCTCACTGACGGGCTGGCCATAGGTGCGAGGGGAGCGGGAGGAGGGAGGCAGGGCCCAGGAGAGGGCTCCCAGGAAGTGCGGGAGAGGAGGAAGCGGCGGCCGTGCCCCTGGTGAGCGCTTTCCCCCAGACTGCCGACCTCCAACCCTGCCAACCCCAGGCGCTGCCTTCTCCGATGGCTTCTCCAGTGGCCTCAGCACCACCCTAGCGGTCTTCTGCCACGAGCTACCCCACGAACTGGGTAGGAACGGCAGAGGTGGGGTGGGGTGGGCTCCAGAAAGGAGAGGCCTCGGGGAGGGGGGGGGCGGGGCGGGAGGGGCAGCCCTGGCTCATAGCCTCCCACCCTGTCCTCTCTTCCGCACAGGTGACTTCGCGGTGCTTCTCCAGGAAGGGCTGCCCTTCCGGCGCTTGCTGCTGCTGAGCCTGGTGTCTGGAGCCCTGGGACTAGGGGGTGCAGCCCTGGGGGTGGGGCTCAGTTTGGGCCCTGTCCCCCTCACTCCCTGGGTGTTTGGTGTCACTGCTGGGGTCTTCCTCTATGTGGCCCTTGTGGACATGGTGAGAGGTGTGGGGCTCTGCAGAGAAAAGCAAGGGAAGCGGGGAGGTGGGTTCGGCGGGGAGGGAAGTACCGGTCTCTCCACCTCCACCCCCGGCCACCTGGAAGGGTGCTGGAGCCCAGGCCCAGGGGAGTCTGAAGAACAAGGGCCTGGAGGAGTTCGGAGGGGCTGCTGGTACTTTCCGATGCCTCCCTCTCGTGCTTCAGGGGGGGCGGAGACAAGGCCAGGATCCTGACGTTCTTCCTTTCTTTCAGCTACCAGCCCTGCTTCGTCCTCCCGAGCCCCTCCCTACGCTCCATGTGCTTCTGCAGGGGCTGGGGATGCTGCTGGGGGGCGGCCTCATGCTCACCATAGCCCTGCTGGAGGAGCAGCTATGGCCCCCGGTCTCTGATGGCTGATGGGGGCCGGTGGAAAGGCGTCCGGGTTGCCCTTCCTTCCCCCCAACCACAGGAATGGAGGCGGGACACAGGGCCAGTAGGAGCAATAGGATTTTAATAAACAGAACCCATCCCAAAGCCATGACTACGACAGTTGTACTTGCACCAAAACAGCATAGAAAACCAGGATGTGGTGGGAGGAGGGCTCAAAGCAGGTGGGGGCGGGGGGAGAGGACATGAGCAGGGGCCTGGAGGGTGCAGGGTGCATCCATCTGCAGGGAGAGCATTGTGCTTTAGCCCAGGGAGGTGGGGGAAGGGTGGGGCAAATGCACCGCAAGGTCCCCACTTTTTCCTGCTGCCCTCAGCACCCTGGGGATACAGGCATCTGGGCAGATCTGCCCTTTATTGCTGCCCACCAGCATTAAACACCCCCGACCCCAACACTAGCACCACAGGCGGATCCGGGGCAGGGAGAAGGGCGGGAACGGGAAAATTGCTTAGAGAAAGATTCGACTAGAATCCAGTGAATTGTGCTCAGTTCTCTTTACTTCCTACAACCGAGTACATGGGTCACGGGGTGGAGGGTGCGACAGGACATGAAACATGCCCCTCGGTGCCCCCAACACACCCCTGCACACAGGATGGTGGTGTCTGCAGCATCACAGGTCATGCAGGGCACGGGGAAGGGGGGGTCCACACACACAGAGACGCCCACAGCGGGTACCAGACAGAGAACACCCCTGAATATACACAGCTGTACACAGGGAACCCCCAGGTCCCCAACCCAACCCTCTCCCCTGTCTTGCCGTCCCCCAGGCCGGAGGAACTGTATTGCTTTGAGAGAGCCGCCCTGGGGGCCGCTCTGCCAGGCACCCTCCCCTCCCCTCCCCTCCCCTCCCCTCCCCCCCACGCCCATTTTGGCACATCTGCAAGACACGCGGCAGCGAGAGTAGGCACCCTCCCTCCCAGGCTTCTGTGGCTTGGAGTTGAGGAAGGGGGTAGGAGACTTAGTCCTCCATCTTGCCCCTAGCCCTTCCCAAACCCCTACCAAACCCACTGCAGCCAGAACCCACCCCCACCCCCCGAAACACACACATACAAAGCTGAGCTATCCAGGAATACAGGGGAACAAGGAGATTGTCCGGGACAGGAGCGGAGGCAGTCGGGGGAGAAAGGACTGGAAGCAGAGACCCCACCCTGGTGTGGGGGTAAGACTGGCACAACAGCTACTTTAGTGCAATTGGAGAGGGTGCCCAGAGTGAGGGATGGAGATGGGAGGGGAAGGCTCTCCCCGACTTCCCTGGAGCGGGGCAAAGCCAGGCTCCCCAGGGAAAGGGCCTAGCAGGAGCGAGCGAGGGCCAAGGGCAGATGCTCTCGTCACCCGCCACCCCCTGCCCTCCCAAATGCAGTGACAGTGTCCCCCTCACACCTAAGTGGGCAACAGCAGCCTCGGAGTCAGTACCTTCAAGTAATTCATAGAACAGACCCTCCCCACCCCAGCTTCCTCCCATCTCTGGGATTTGGTCGCTTCTCTAGGGTTGGGTCGGGGGAGGAGGGAGTTCCCAGGTCAGGCCCTTCCCTCTCCACCTCCCTCTTCCCAGACCACTGGGCTTGGTCCTCAAAGATTCCTTGCCTCCGCCCCTTGCCCAACCTGGGTCAAGGCCACGGAGGGCTGGAGCCACCACAATTCGAAGGGAAGGGGCTGCCTTTGCTCCTTATCCCTCCTTCTTAAAAGGTAGGGTTCAAACTAGGCGGGATGGGGCCCCATACTGGTTTGCCCCAGGAGGAGGGCTTCTGGGCTAGGGTCTGTAAGGCTATTTTCCTTTGCGGTGGGAAGGGGAGGTGGGGATGAACACGGGGTGTGGGGAGAGGGGGAGAAATGGCGGAGAGGGACGGAGGAAGGGGCCTCTCTGCTGGAGCGCAGTCGCTGGAGTCATCCGGACAAAGAAACACTCCTGTGCACAAGACACAGAGTGGGCCTGCTCCCAGCCCCTCCAGCCAGGGCCCACCCTCACCTCTCGGGGTCCCTTCCAAGACCCCAGAGGAGGTTTCAGGGGTACAGCTGCAGAACCGTTCACTCTGGCCCCACGCCCCCCACCCCACCTCCAGCCTCTCCTCCCCTTCTAGGTCCGGGGAGTAAGAAGGTGCTCGGGTGGGCAGACAGCGGTGGAAACAGTATTGAGTTTTCCTTTGGTTACATATTGAAGGCAAAGGTGAGCTGGACTTACAGTCAAAACGGATAGGGATGAGGAAGGAAGAGGGGCCATGCTGGGGTTGGAGAGGGAGGTAGGCCCTCCTCAGCCCCTCCACCCCAAGGAACACATGTCTAAGTGGGGTGGCAGTCCCTCAGTCTCATCTCTCCCACCCCCCACAGCACCAAACAGAAGGAGAAGCCCCCTCCCCCAGGGGCTGCTCCCCACCCCAACCTGGGCTGTACATTCAGTGGTTTTCAGCAGTCCTATGGCTCAGGGGGCCACAGCGGGGGAGGTGGCCCGTCAGTCTCAGTTGGACAGTGGCAGTGACCCGGGTCTGTTGGCCCATCCTGGGACCCACAGTTTGTGCCATTTGTTTTTCTGAAGGATAGTACACAACCCTACCAAAGCCACCGCCCAATCAGAAACGTCTCCCCAAAAATCAGAAACTAAAAACTGGCTCTTTTCAACTCGCCCTCTGATTCACAAGCCTGTTTCCCTGTCTCCTATGTAGCCCTCGCTCTGTCTCCTTTGCTGGGACCTGGGGCTGCTCCCAGGGTCCTCATGTAAAATAGGCCTTTTCTCAAAAGTGCTTATTACTTGAAGCAAGTGCTTTAGAGCTGCGGTGGGGAGAGGGGGAGGGAAGAGGGAGGGCGAAGGGAAGGAGGTGTTTCCTCCCCACCCTACCCCCTTAAGATTGGGGGGCATTCTGCCTGTTTTATTTCTCCACACCCGTTTAAGTCAAAGAGGTTTAAAAAAAAAAAAATCTTAACATTAAAATAAATATGCAGTGGCCATGAGAATGGTCAAAACACTTCAAAAAACACTAGGGGCTGGGGAGCCCGGGGTGGGGTGTGGGATTTCCTTTGGCATAAGGAGAGGAGGCTGCGCGTCCTCCACGCCCCCTCACAGCCACACGAGGAGGGCCGAGGATCCCCCCGGCCTACCCCAGCACTGCTGACCATGTGCTGAAGGGGCAGCAGGGGAAGAGGCAGCCACCAGAAATCTCATCTAGCAAAACAATGGGGCTCCTGACAAATACTCAGGTTCTTCCTGTCATCGCCAAACATCGCCTGATAAAGGAGAACACGACTGATACCCCGAGAGTCTTCTCTGGAGGACCCACCGCTCTGCTCCCCCTGCCCCCCATCACCTAATTCCCAGCACCAAAATGAGAGGGAGGGGATGGAATGGGAAGATTTCAGGAGAGCGAGCTGAAGTTAGGGGCAAGCTTTGCAGAACCAGCAGGGTTGGGGGCGGGGGGCTGCAGCCCTTAAGAGAGGTCACATTGATTGTCGTATAGGGGAGGACAGGGCGTGAAGGGAGGTGGGCAAGAGGGGCGTCGCAAGGCCCTTTGGCTTTGAAAACAAACCTAAAAACTAAAAGCTGCACAATCCTTCTCACCAATAATGGTCATTTGGAAGCTTTGAAATGGTTTAGGAACTGAGGGTTGGGGGAAGCAAGACACAGACAGACGGGATAGAGAGAGACCATAACAAAAAAAATAAGGACTTGGACAAACACCCCAGGCTTCAGGGAACCAGCATGAGGTATGGTTAAGGGTATCTGGTAGGGAGGGAGGGGTCCCTGGGATGCCCCCCCTCTCCCCTCAGCCCCTCCTTGGCGAAGGCGGCAAGACTTGCAGGGGACACAACTGAAAAGTGGGTGAGGTCGTGAACAAAGCAAGCGTGGGTGGGGGAAGGAGACTGAGGGCTCCCCCAGGCGGGGCGGAACCCTGTACTGTGTAAACGAAGCCTGTCCAGTTCTCAGGGGACAATACTGATGGCAGCCAAACTGGGCAAGGATGCACTGTGGGGGTGGAGGGGGCATGACCTCTATTCAAGTTCTGTGTCTTGGCCCCTGGCTGAGGTATTGAGTGTGAGGAAGGGAACACTGGGCTATGGGAGTGGATCCAACTGTCCAGGAGGCTTAGCTGGGAGATGGATGGACAGGGCGTTGGAAGGGACCAGGGCCAAATTCAATGCTACATTTAGAGAGAAAACTGCCCCCTCCTCACTCTGGCCCAGTTTGGCTTTTGGGGATCTTCTCAGTGCAGCCCCTAGCTCAATCCCATCTCTCCCCACGGCCGGGAGGACAGGGACCAAGCCTCAGCGTGTGTATTCATCGCTCCCTAGGTCAGAGCTTCATCCTCACACCGGAGGGGAAGCTGGGGTCCCGAGTAGCCACGGTCCCTAGTCTGCCCTGCCCCTCCCACCATCTTTGGCTTCAGATCAGGAGTGACTGGGGGCAGTGGGTACTCTTGGACATAACGGACAGTGGGGGCACAGAGGAACTATGGGTTTGGGGGGGGGCACAGGAGGAAGAACATGGTCCTTCCCTCCCCACACATGCAAACACATGCCTGAAACACACAGGACATACTGGGGCTGTGGTTTTGAAATGGGCAGGAAATTAATTTGTTTCTTCCCCTAAAGGATAAAATGCTTACTTAAAAATTCATGACAAGCCTCAAAGTTAAGGGAGAGGGGAGCCAGGGAGGGAATGGCCACAGGCTCTGCCCTCCCAAAAGAAGTTAAAAGAAAGAAGCAAGGTTAAAGTGCGTGGTTAGGGGGCCAGGCCGGGGGTGGAAGGGAGTCAGGGAGGAGGAGCAGGCTGTGGGGGCAGAACCAGCCCTTGATTTGCATATGAGGAGCCAGGGAGAGTGCAGGATCGGGGCCCAGGTACAGTAGTTGCCGCTTCAAGTGTTCTGCATTTGAACTTGAGGGGTGACGGGTACAGAAGTGGGGGAAAGCTCCAGGCCCCAGTGCTAAATACCCTCCCCCCTCATCCACTAGCTGCCCCTGAAGGGGGAGGGGACACCCCCAGAGTGCTCACACAGTACCAGAAATTAAGGCTTCTCACTGCTGCGGGGATGGAGGGGCCAGCCGAGCAGGGAGGCAGTGATGGGTATGGAAGAAGAGGAGGGATCTGCCTGGCAGTAGGGGCAGGCGGAGGGGGACGCAGAGAGGAGAGGCAAAGGGGGGGGGGGGGGAGTTGGCAGCAGAAAGGGGGAACTGAGAGATGGGGTAAAAGAGAGGGTAGCCAGGCATTTAGCAATCATTTGGGGACACTTGGCAGAAGGGGTTGCCCTGGGGGTGCCAAGGGCCTGGGGTGCTCCCTGTCAGTCCCAGACCCCTGCCAGGCCAGGATGGTGTGGCAAAGGGGTGAGCAGCTGCTCCCCAGTGCTTCCCCCCCCTCCGTCCCCCCCACCCAGTCGTGTTCTCCTTTAAAGTGCCCTAAATGTATAGACTTTTTCTAAATAAATAGAATAAGGTATCAAGCCACCGGCAGGGGGAGGGACACTGAAGGGGGGCTACTCCGAGTAGCAGCCGTCTAACCCGATGGCGCCGTGCCGCTCCTGGCTGTAGGGGCAGGAGGCCCCGTGGGGCAGGGCGCCACAGCCACCCACCGTCTTGGCCGCCGCAATGCCGCAGTTCTTGAGCAGGCTGAAGCTGAAAGGACTGACGGCGTCCTTGGGTGGGAAAGGCTTCATGGTGGAGAGGATCAAGGCCAGGCAGTCTGCCACATCTTTGTTGGGGGCGCAGGCCAGCGCTGGGGTGTGACCTGCAGGGCAGAGGGGGAGAACTGAGGCACGGGGTCCTGCATCCCCAGGTCCCCACCCACTTTCCCCCAGGCCCTGAGCTCTCATCTGAGGAGGGGAGCCGAGGCAGACAAGCACCCAGCGCCGTCAGAATCCAAGGTTGACCAGGGCCAGGCGGGGGGTGGTGACAGGCAGACTGTCAGAGTGTGGGGTAAAGGGCAGAGCACAGGGGACACAAGGCTGGGAGGCTGAGGTGTGTGGGAGGTCTTCCTGAGGAGCCTGCTGGCTCCACCTAGTTCTGTCAGACTGCCCTCAGAGACTAGCGTATTGGTATTGGGTCCCTGCTCTGAAGAGTTCCCCTGGGGAAAAAAAAACCCCAGTTTATAGCAAGGTTAAGAAGTCACCTCCTGAAGAATGTCCCTGACCCCAAACCCGGGAGAGGCGGGGGGCTCTGGACCCCACCCACCTTCTTCATCCACAGCCAGCACTGTGGCCCCACGACTCAGCAGGGCCTGCACCACAGAAGCTAGACCGTTCCGGGCAGCAATGTGGAGTGGCCTTGGAAGAAAGGAAAAAGGAGCGAGAAGTCAGCGGGGTCCGCTGCCCTTCCACACCCAGCCGGAGTAGCACGAGTGCTGAACAAATACTCTGAGTTCCAGAGAACCCCTGGAAGGCAGGTGGCTCTTTCCTCACCCACCTGCCTCCCCCAGCCAGGAGCCCCCTTCCCCAGGCACTCACATCTGCAGCGCACTGTTGGTAGCATTGATAAGGCCAAGGTCTTGGGTTTCTGCCAGGATCATGAGGGCACATTTCTCATGGCCCTGAGGGAGAGGAACAGAGATGGAGTGGAAGCAGACAGGCTGCAGAGCGGGAGTTGGGGAAGGGGGAAGGGAGGACAAAGAGCTGCACAGGCTGGACAATGCCGATGGCCACTCCAGTCCACCCTCCAGCTGGGCAGCCACCCCCCCGCCCCGCCCCCGTCAAGCCCTGCTCCTTGTGCGGCCCTCGCCACCACCGATCCAGACCATACCTTGCTACAAGCCAAGTGGAGGGCAGTGTTCTTGTTCTCATCCAGCACAGTAAGGTCTGCCTTCCCTCGATACAGCAGAAATTCTGCAAGAGAGAGGGGGAGGAGGACTAACGCCTGCCGTCCAGGGCAGCAATCCTCACGGCTGCTGGCCCTCCCGCCTGCGTACACTTTGCGGGCCACCTGCAGAGGATGAGCTGTCCAAAGACATGCCTCCTGCTTCCTGAGCCCCGCCACGGGCAGGGCTGCCCCATCCTGCAGAGACCCAAGGGGAGAGGGCAGCCCCCGCCCCCACGGCCGGCCCCTACACACCCACAGCAGCGGTCTGGCCGTTCTCGGCCGCCGTCATGAGCGCGGTGCGGCCAGTGTGGTCCGTGGCGTTCACCTCGGCTTCATGCTGCAGCAGCAGCCGGAGCCCAGATACGTTGTCCGCGAAGGCAGCGGCGTGAAGGGGGGTCCTGGCGGGAGGGGCGGGGTGTCAGGGCAGAGTGAAAAGGGAAAGCTTGTTCGCCTGAGCGGAAAGAGGCCGGAGGCCATCGAGCCTTCTCCCTAAGCCTTCCGCCACTCACCGTCCTTTGGCATCGCGGCTGTTCACAATCTTGGCACCCAGAGCTCCCAGCAGCATCTCTGTGGTGCTGTCCTGGTTATTAATTCTGGGGGAAGAGAAAGGGTCAGCAGGAAGAACAAGGGGAACGGAATGCCTGTCCTAAGCCCCAGTCACAGACAGACCCTCAGGCGGGGCTGAGGCGGAGGAAGGGACTTACACTGCACAGTGCAAAGGAGTGAAGGGGTTTCCCTCCAGGTATGAAAACGGGCTGTGTTCAAGTAACAACTCCAGACAATCTTCATGTCCTGAGCAGGAGAAAGGAAGAGCAGGGGCGGGGAGAGGGACAATGACCACCTCTGTCCGGTGCCATCTCCGGACACTCCACTTCCAGAGCCAGCTTGACCCGGGTCCCTCCCTCACACCCACGGGGCCTCAGTCTCTGTTCTGCTCTGCCCTCCCCCACGCCGCACCCCCACTCCCGCGCCCACCAAGGCCCCAGGCCCGCACCAGTGTAGGAGGCCCAGTGCATGGGCGAGTATCCACTGTAATCCACGCCAGCATCCAGGGGGTCCGTGGAGAGGGCGGCCTGCAGCAGGGTCCGCAGCACGGCAGTGTGGCCGCAGGCTGAGGCCAGGTGAATGGGGGTGCGGCCCTTGAAGTCTCGGCACAGCACAAATGCATCGTGGTCCAGCAGGGCGGCCAGGCAGTCCTCGCAGCCAGTCACTGCCTGTGGGTGACGCGATGGTGTGAGGGAGGGTGCAGGGCCACTCCCTGCCCAACGGCCAGTCGCCGGAGCTCCCCCCAGAATGAGAACCATTTCCAGGGCGCCCATCCTCATCTTTACAATGACTCTGAGTGTTAGTAATCAGCATCTCCTGCCTCCATCCTCTCTATGCCAACAGACAACCAGAATGGCAAGAGCTGATTCTGGCACTGTGGAGTAGGGGACAAATGGCAGTGTTGGAGGACTAAGGGATCGAAGCATCCCCTGGGGATGAGGAGACAGCTTGAGGCCAGGTGATGGTGGAGAAGGCCTGAGACAGTGGCATCATTAGCCAGTGGGCCAGGATAAGGGTCTGGGTATCCTGGAGCAGGGTCTGGGTAGTGAGCATGTGGCTGTATGAGATTACAAAGCAAGGGAATCAGGGAGATCTGCTACGGATGTCAAGTACTCATCCTGGAGCAAACACAGTAAGGCCCAATAAGACCCTGGGCACAAAATACTGGCCCACCTGCTAGACAATCTGCTGTCCTACTGCTGATGGGTCCTGTGCTCCCATGTCCAGGCCTGTCTGTGAGCAGCCCCACCCAGGAGGTCACTCACCCCACGGTGGAGGGCAGTGCGGCCCCGGAGGTCAGCAGCATCAGCTGTGGATCCTTTCTCTAGCAGCAGATGGACACAATCCACGTGGCCATTCATGATGGCCAGCATCAGTGGGGTTCTACAGAGGGGGCAGGAGAAAGGTGAGGGCCCGCAGGGACAGGAAAAGCTGCATCCTGCCCCTGGCCCACACTCACTGTCCATAGGCATCCATGACATCTGTGATGTCAGCTCGTTCCCCACTGTCGATCAGCAAGTGCAGGGAATCAGTGTGGCCAGAGGCAGCTAGGAGTAAAGGGTCTGTGTCAGGGTACGGTCAAGGGGAAGGAGGCAGCCAGGTCAAGCATAAAGGACTCAAGGGTGATGACGGGAAGACCTGGGGGGGCAGGCCGAAGTCTTGGGAGATAGGAAGGCATGAATCAGGACGTGAAGTTTCCATTCTCCTTGCCCTGCTCCACTCCCAACCCTAACCCCATTCAGGAGGGATCTGGGACCAGTCTCCAAGGCCTGGTGTGGCAAGGGGAGGGAAGAGCATGACAGGCGTACTAACCAGCAGCGTGCAGGGGCGTCCACTTGCGTTTGCGCTCCTTGATGAGTGCAGAGGCGCCATGGGCCGTAAGCACCTCCACACACTCAGTAGAGCCTCGCTCAGTGGCCAGGAAGAGCGCGGTCCGGCCCTTGTGGTCCCTTACATCCAGATTCACCAGCGTCTCAGCCAGTGTCTTCAGGGCTTCACAGTGACCATTGTAGGCCTGGAGGCGGGGTGGGGGTGGGGGGGCAGGAAACCAATGAGTACAGCTTGGGACACTGCCCCCACTCTGCTCTTGGGCCCAATGGGGAAACTCCAGCGGCAGTCCTCCCCAGGAGTTCTCGGGCCCCTCAGGCTCTCAACCTGCACCATGCCCACCCCTCCCGAGACCACTGCCTGCTTGCCACATCCCCACAAGAAGGCAGAAGCCAGGACAGAGTCACAGTGCTCCCGCCTGCGTGTGGGCCCGGGGCAGGGAGGGACAAGGAAGGCAGGGGGAAAGGACTGAGGACTCACAGCTAAGTGCAAAGGGCTGACTGGAATGGTGCTCTCCACATCCTCCAGGCAGTTAAAGGACATTTCCAAGAGCTGCAATGGACAGGAAAGTAGGGGCTGAGGTTCTCAAACTCCTAAGATGTTATCCCCCATCCCTCCCCACAGTAATCCCCTAAGCTCCTGGAGCTAGAGACATCTGAGTCAACCACCCCTTGGTTTCAGAATCCACAAAGGTGCCTGCGTGCCCTGCCCCTGCTTCCTCTGCTCCAGGCCAGACCCCACACATACCAGTTCGAGGTTCTGTCTGTTGCCGTAGGCGGCTGCATAGTGCACGGCTGTGTAGCCCTGCCTGTCCCGCAGGGAGGGGTCTGCACCGTTATCCAGTAAGAACTCCAGACAGCTGGGGGACAGGGGCACACTGTGAGGCAGGGACAGGCCCAGCTGGGGAGGAGCCGGTTGTGGGAAGAGCAGAGGACAGGGGCAAGGGAGCCCCTCCAGGCCTCGCTGGCCAACACCCATCCTCTGCTCTACGGAGGCTACCTCCTGCCCATTCGACCCTGGCTCCAGACCTGCCACCTCCTTCACATCACCCCTGAACTACTCTGGCTTCAGTGCCTTCCTTTATCCTTGGAATGCTCTCCTAGAGAACCTAGAGCACAATTATCAGTTATCAATCTGCTGATCAACATTTTCTGCCCACCTCTAGACACGATGACGTCCTGCCTTCTCCTTCCGACCCATTTAAAGAAGTCCTACTCATCTCACACTCGCTCCCAGCCTCCTCCCCTCTATGGGGCCTTCCCCAACTTTCCCTGAGGTGCCTCTTCCTCTGTACTCCCTTGGCACCCTTCTTAGTAGGGTCAGCTTAGAAGTACTAGCAGTAATAGTAATATTTAGCACTTACTACGTGTCAAGCATTGTTCTAAGCACTTCATGTGTATGAAACCATTCAGTCCACATTATGATCCTATGGTCCTATTCTGATTCCTACCATGGTTAAGGAAATTGAGGCACAGAGAGGTTAAGTTATGAAAGGTCACACAGTTGAGTTCCTTCGATTGTAATTATCCTTCTTTAAAAAAAATGATCCTTTCATTTCGGAACACCTGTAGATTTACAGAAAGACTGTGAAAATAGTCTAGAGTTCCCATGTACTCTGCACCATTCTCTGTGTTGTTAACATCTTATGTTAGAACGCATAAGTGCCCTTTCATTTACATTTCCCAACAGATTATGAGTTTCAAAGGGCAGAAATTTGGGGTAATTCATCTTTTTTTTTTTTTTTAGAGAGGAAAGGGGGAGGAGCAGCGAGAAAGGAAGAGAGAGATTCTCAAGCAGGCTCCAAGCCCAGCACCGAGCTCGACGCGGGGCTCGATTTCATGACCCTGAGATCCTGACCTGAGCCCCGAATTCAAGAGGCGGATGCTTAACTGACTGAGCCACCCAGGCGCCCCAAGGGTTAATTCATCTTTTACCCTCGGTACCTAGCACAGTACTTAGCACCTAGTAAGGAAATCCTCATTTAATTCTTACGGAATGGAATAGGTAATGGCTTGGAGCGCTTAGCTCTTCTGATCCTCTCAGGAAGACCATCCGTTCCCTGAGGAAGGAAGCGGGTCCCATACTTCTGTTCTGACCACAGTACTCGGTCCGGGACTAAGCTCGCTCCAATCGCCCCGCCAGCGGGCCAGCTGCGAGCCGCGGCGGCGAGCGCCAGGGCCCGAGCGGACACCGCTGGGCAGGCAGAGCCCGGGGCCCGGCCCGGCTACTCACAAGAAGGCCTCCTTCCTGCGGGACTCCTTCAGCGGCTCATCCTCTTCAGCGTCGTGGCTGGCAGGTGAGTGGGCTTCGGCTCTGCAGCACAGACAGTGAGGTCGGGGGAGGCCCGGGGGAGTGAGTGGGGCGGAGAAGCAGAGCGGGGGGCTCTCACCTCCTGTAGGTGTCAGAGGCAGCGGCGTAGTGCAGCGGAGAGCAGCCTTTACAGTCGGCCTCGTTGACGCCCGCGCCCGCCGTCACCAGCGTGACCGCACACTGGTAGCTGCCGTTGGCGGCTGCGTAGTGCAGGGCCGTCCTGCGGCGAAGGCAAGGAGGGTGGGCGGAAGAGCCGGGGCCCCGGAGCTGCTCTGTAATACTGTCCCCGCTTCGTCCCCGCCACCGTCCATCTGTCTTACCCGGCATCCCCCACGCCTCCCCCTGCGTACCGACCCACCTTCCAAACTTGTCTCTCCTCCTCAAGTCAGCTCCACTGCTCAACAGCAAATTAAGACATTCAACGTTCCTAAAAGGAAAGAGGATGAGGGTTAAGAGAGCGAGAGCCTCAAGGAGAAGCCACAGGCACAGGGAGGGGCAGAGGAAGGACGGCGCCGGACAGCCCTTTCCGCCGTGACAGGGGGAGACATCTGGGCAGCAGAGAAGGGCCCACACCCTTGGCCAGATCTCTTCTCAGCGCCTGGGAGGGAGAGAACTTACCCTCCAGAAGCAGCAGCATGAAGACAGGTGCGGCCAAGGTTGTCAGGCGTATTGATGTCAAACCCAGCTGAAAGCACGTGCTCATTGCTGAGTGAAGACACAATGCTGTACAGCTGACCTGCGGGGCCAGAACAGCCACGGATCCCATCTGAGGGCCCTGAGCAGAGTGGGGCGAGGCCCTGACCCGCCTGCACACCTGCCCAACCCCCCAACCGGTCAGCACATACCTGAGGAAAGAAGCTTACGACAACAGTCAGAGAATCCAAAGAGAACAGCTAAGTGCAGAGGGAACATGTCGTGAATGCCGCGCCTGGGGAGAAGTTGAGGCACTCAGTCCTTAGGTCCAGGAGAGACCAGTTATAGACCTCTTTTCTGTGGGCCCCCCAGCAGCCCAGGAGACAGCGAGGTTTGGCAAGCTTCCTTTCGGCGAGCTTCTTTGTGCCTCCATGTTTGACGTGAGCAGCCTGTACAGACCCGAGGGGCCCCGACTCACCGGGCGGTATCCGCGCCATTGGTCATGAGGGTGCTGATGAGCAGCTCGTGTCCGTAGCGAGCAGCCACGTGCAGTGGCGTGTTCCCAAATTTGTCGGCACAATCAATCTCGCTGCCTGAGAGGGGAGACACACGAACTCAGGCCAACCTTAGGCTCCAGACCACTCACACTAGCTAGCTACCGGGGGAGTGCTTGTTACGTGCCATGCCCCAGGCTAAGCTTTCCACAGGTGTTATCTTGTTTGTAAGTCTTAGGGGACGGGCCAGGCAGACCAGGGCCATTTCCACAGGTGCCTTGCTCAGAGCTCCAGGTGCCCATCCTCACTGGAAGGTGGTGTGGGAGGTGGAATCAGGACACAAAGGGGCTTCTAGGGATGAGTTCTCTGGGGGAGAGGAGAGCACAAAGTCTCCCGAGTCCATACCATTCTGGATGAGGATCTGGGAGCGGGTGAAACGACCATGGATGGCAGCCATGTGCAGAGGACTTTTCCCTTCCTTGCTCTGTGAAAATATGGCAAATTTTTTTTTTTTTTTTCCAGTGCAAGGCACTGAGAAGGCCCTGTTCCCCCTTCGAAAGGACACATCTCTGAGGACGGACTGGTCTTGGGGATATCTGCTCAGCCCACACTCTCCTGGGTCCCTGGCAAGGTCTGATCAACCCAGAAAGCAAATGGACAATTCCCCAGAGTTATCCAGAGGGGAAGATATGGTCAGGAACCCCAAAGCCAGGTTTCTCTCCCAGGACTCCCAGAGCCAGGCTGCGGCCTCATCCCTTCAGGCACCTGGTAGTTGACATCAGCCCCGTTATTGACCAACAGCTCCAAGCAGAGAGCGCCATTGGTGGAGACTGCAGCCACATGCAGTGGCGTGAAGCCCTTGTCATTCGGCTGGTTGACATTGGCTCCTGCATTCACCAGCTCAATAGCCACAGCATCCTGGCCCAGGTAGCAGGCGATGTGCAAAGCTGTGTTTCCAAAAGCGTTGGGCTCATCGATCTGGATTTCCAGGGGTGCAGGTAAGGGCATAGGGAGGTATCAGTTTAAATAAAATGGAAGCCGGCACAGATAGGCTAGAGACTCCCAGAATTCCAACAACCGCCCAAGACACCCCAGGTTCCTGACTCAACAGTCTGAGCCTATTCCTTATAGCAAGCATTATTCACCACGTCTCACTGTATCCTGCCGACCTCCCCAAACCACTCCAACCATCCCAGCACGCTTCTGTCTCCACACACAGACTCTGACCTCCACCTCCCTGCCCGTAGTGCCCGGCCCCCTGACCTCAGCCCCCATCCGGAGCAGGTACTTCACCACTTCAATCTGGCCACTGGCTGCAGCTGTGTGGAGTAGCCCATAGCCCTTGCGGTCCTTGCAGCCGAGGTCAGCGCCCCGTGCCACCAGCAGTTTCAGGACCTCCAAATGCCCTAGGAAGAGCGAGAAGGCTCTCAAGGGGGTGGAGGGTGAACTGAGACCCCAAGCGCCTCTCTCCAAAGGCTGCAACCCCCATCCGTGCCTTAGAAGTCCTAACTGTCAAATTCTTCCTCTTTCCACGAACCCTTTCTCACCTAGAAAAGCTGCCCAGTGCAGAGGCTGCCGCTCCTTTTTGTCACAGACATTCAGGCTGGCTCCCTTGTTCAGGAGCAGATTCACCGTCTGTATCAGGAGATGAAAGACACCTGTTCAGAGCCAGGTTCATGCTTTCAATGTACCTAAGGGCAGAAGCCTCAGTTCCTGAAAAGGCTGAGGCAGCCACATGGCTTTGTTCTTGAACAGAACAATCTGGAGAACTAGAGGGAACAGAGGAAGCAGACAGTAAGAAGGAGATCCCATATAGATTTGGAAGTTTGAAGGAAACTCAAGGGAGTCTCTTCATATGACCTGGTGGTTCTTAAATTCTTTTGAAAAATCTTCTAACACATTTTGAAAAACATGGACACTCGCTCCAGAAAAAGGCATGTACACACACATTTTCCAGGCAACTTCAGACAGTTTACCTTGGACTTCCAAAGTCCAAGTCAAGAATTTCAATCTAACCCAACCATTCCTTTGGTGCTTGGGCCCAAGTGTCTATACAGTCATCCAGGCCGCTGCTCCCCAGACCTGAGGGCCCAGAAGCAGAGGAAGGTGAGTGGGGTGGGGTGGGGTGGGAAGGGAAGGGAAGGAAGGGACAGGACTGGGCTGGGTATGGGCTGGAGCAGTCCTCACCTCTAGATGCCCACTATGCACGGCGTGGTGCAGGGCACTGCGCCCACTCCTGTCAGCCACGTTGAGGCTACTCAACAGGGGTGCCAGAGCCTCAGCACACTTGGTGGCCCGGTTGGCGGCAGCCACGTGCAGCGGGGTCTGCCACAGCTTGTCCCGGGCATTCACATCTGCTGAATGTGCCAGCAGCAGGCCCAGCACCTTCTGTTACGGAGCAGGGGACAGGAGAGAAGCCAGAGGGGAAGGAGGAGGTAAAACAAATAGTGGAGGGAAGAACCGGTCAGCATGGCACATGTAGCCCCATCCCCTCAAGCCCCCAGCACAGAGTCTCTTCTCGTTTTTCCAACATACGTAGCCTCTTAACGCCTCTCAATGCCTACTTCCCATCTTCTGGATCTTCTGAGAGTTTAAAATCTTCCCTACGTTGCTGAGGAAAGCATGGTCCCTTCCTCTTCCTCAAGCCACTCGGTATCACTCCCCAACCCCGACCCTGAAAATCTTCACCCACACATACAGCTCCAACCAAGCAAATCCACATATATAGAGGATCCCAATCCCTCGCTACTTTTCACTAGGAAAAACACACACTCCTGCTACCCTTAATACTCTCCTTCAGTCCTTCCATAGGCACCAAAATCATTTCCATTACTTCAGTAAGCAAACAGATGCTGGTTCCTCTCTAAAACTCAGGCTAAAAGGTCCATCCTAATCACAACCCACCCCATTCCCATTGGCCTTAGTCCCTCCCCCTGGTGGTTGGAGCCAGGGAACTGATGGTCGGTAGAACCAAGAGAGAGGTCTCCTTCCCCGCCTTCCCCGACTCCCCCAGGGTTGATGAACCCAACTGATGAGGCATGTTTGACCTCTGTGTGTCAACTTTCATGCTGCTTGAGGGTCAGGGACGCAACAGATCACTACCCTCAATCCCTCCATCACAAAGTAAGAAATCTCAGTGCGCAGAGGGGGATCAGGCTCCAAGGTGGCCCCCCAGGGACGGATGAGTCACTCAGGCCTGGCAGCAGGGCCCCCTGCAGTCTGCCAGCCCAGTGTTAAGCTCTCCCCTGACGTCACATCAGCTGGCAACACTCAGCCCCCCTTACCAGCCAGTTCCAGGGGTAGGAGGGAGGGGCCAAGTTCTAGTCTCCTGACCTAGGGGTAGACCAGCTTGTAAGCAGACAGCTGAGGCTCTCCCATCCTTAACTTCCACCTTTAACCAACTCATCCTCTTTGAAAGGGTGAAAGGACAGAAGAGGCCGATACCTCATTTCGGGAAGCAGCAGCGCGATGAAGAGGGGTCAGCCACAGTGTGTCCTTAGCATTGACATTAGCACCTGTGGGGATATAATTTCCTCTTTTGGTGGGAGGTGGACAGCAAATGGGGAAGGAAGCCAGTAATCAGGCCAAGGAATACAGATAGAGATGAAGGCTCTCCCGGACCAAGTACCAGAGAACAATTCTTAGATATGAAAAAAAAGAAAAGAAAAGAAAAAAGGCTCTTCCCTCAGGTCCCCTCCCTAGGTGCCACACCTTCCAGCTCCCTACTTTCACCTGACATCAGTAGCAACTGGAGGATGGGGACATCGCCTACGTAGGCAGCAGCATGCAATGGGGTCCGCCTCTCTTGGTCCTGGGGAAGGCAGAAAAGGGCAGCAGTTGTGGTGGAGGGTGAACTATCAAGGACCCCAGCCCAAGTCTTAGAGCTCCAGGCCTTTCCCCACCTCTTCCCATAGGTTCTGCAGCCTCCTAAATCCCTATCCTAGGTCAAAACAAGCACCTAGGGAGGGTGGAGTCAGGGAGTCAGGGGGTCAGGGCCAAGGGGCTGTGAGGCAGTCTCCTTCTTCCAGGAGGGGTGGGGGCGCTGCAGACACTGATGGTTCAGAAGAGAACACCGTTTCTGGGCATCCTCAGCTCCACTGGTCTATGCTTCAAGCCTGACCTGCTCTGCATCTCCAAATGTAGAGCAGGCGCCCATCCCTGGGCAGAAAGAGCTGCGGCCTCATCCGAGCCAAGGAGCCACGGAGCCGCCCCACTGGTTGGGAGGGGTCCAGAACACCAGGGCCCAGATTACTGGCTCCCCATCCTCCCTGATCCCAACTCACCAGTACATTGATGTTCTCCTTCTGCGAGAGGAGGGAACGCACTTCCTCCACATCTCGGCTAAAGATGGCCTGGACCAGGGGCGGCTGCAGGAAGAACCGGCGTTCAGAGAGCGGGCCGGAGCGGAACCAGGGGTGGGGGCGAAGGGGGGGACACCCGGTTTGATGAGGGGCGTCGCTGGAGGGGCTCCGCTCTGGGGTCCTGGCTGCAGGGGACTCCCGCGGCACGTTGGCCGGTCGCCAGGCCCCCAAGGACACCGGCTCGGTTGAGGGGAGCACGGCGTGGGGCGGAGCGGGAGCCGCGGGAGCCCCGGGCTCGGGCCCAGCCTAGGCCTCACATCCCCGGGCTCGCGTGGCGGCGGCGCCGGACCCTGGAAGGAGGAAGCGGGCAAGGACAGGAGGGCTGACCTGGTCCGTGATGCTGAGGATCCCCATGGCCCGGCCCGGGCTCCGTCCGCATCGAGCTCCCGGCGGCGGCGGCGGCGGCTCCACCGGGGACACGGGGCGGCCCAGGCGGCGGCTGCGGCGGCGGCTGCGGGGAGAGCGCGGCCCCGCCTACCGGGGGGCGGGCGAGCGGGAGCCCGCAGCGCTCCCTGGCGGCCGTCCTGGGCCGGGCCGCGGGGCGCTTGCCGCGCAGACGGGCCCGGGCCTGGCGCCCTCCGCCCCGCCCTGGCGCCCGGAACGGCCCCGGCGCCCCCGACCTCGCGCGCTGGTCCCCCGGCTCCCCGAGCCGGCCGCGCTGTGCTCTCCGCTCCAGTCTGGAGGCTCGGGGGTTTTCTCACAAGACGCAAGCGGCAACTCGGGCCTTGGCCCCGCGGCGCCTCCCACCACCCAGCCCACCACAATGCCTCCGCCGGAGCGGACTCCTCCCGTCTGCGCTTACATACCCCCAAATCCGCCTCAGACTTGGGGAAACAGGGGCGTGGAGATCTGGGGGCTGCGTATGGCAACAGCGCCAGAGAGAAGGAAGACGCGTATCTCCACTGGCGGTGACATGAGTTGGGTAGGAAGGAAATAGCGAAAGTGCTCAAACTGCTGAGAGAAATCCCGAAAAGGACTCCCCAGAGGCAGAAAATCCCCACAAAGAGGCTGGGACAGCTGGCAGCTGAGGAAGGCCCCCAAGGCCAGCACGAGGGGCCCTTCCCGAATTCCTAATTACTCCTTTGCGGGGTTAAGGCGGTAGGGTGGCTACACTTTAAGAGGCTCAATGGCTTCTCCCCAGAAAAGGGTGGGGTGCTTTCCCTCCTCCATTGGCGAGGCCGGAGAGCAGCCAATCAGGCAAGATCTGGATGGAGGTCATCCCAGCCCAGAAAAGGAAAAGAGGGAAGAAAACTGGATATTGAAAACTTGGTGCAATTTATAAAAGGTGATTCAGGGTCCTGTTAGAGCTCAGCCACTCAGTATGAGTGTTCTAAGAGGGAACACATTTAGAAGAAGCGTAGCAAGTTGGCCCCCTGTCAAGGCACAGATATAATGAAAGCTCTCCTTTGCTCTCTAACAATCTATGCCCTTCATTGCCTTTGGTATCTTGATTCCCACCAGAATAGATACACAAGACACATACCTGTGCTTTTTCCTGGGGAGAGAAACTGGGAACCAGGGAATGAGGAATGAGAGGGAAAAATACCTATCACTACATACCTTCAATAATTTTTTTTTTAAGGATTTTATTTATTTATTTGACAGAGAGAGACACAGCGAGAGAGGGAACACAAGCAGGGGTGTGGGAGAGGGAGAAGCAGGCTTCCCGCTGAGCAGGGAGCCCAATGTGGGGCTCGATCCCAGGACCCTGGGACCATGACCTGAGCCGAAGGCAGTTGCTTAACAACTGAGCCACCCAGGCACCCACCTTTAATAATTTCTTAACTTTTACCATATTGAAAATAAAATTTACAATATTACTTAAAATTTAACCTCTCGCAAGGAGTCTTACCCTGGTTAACGGGTTCTTTCCCTTTTGTTAGGCTTAACACTTACAAATTAGTTTACACTGTAGCAGTCAGTTTTATTTTTATTTATTTATTTATTTATTTGACAGAGAGAGGCAGCGAAAGAGGGAACACAAGCAGGGGCGAGGAAAGAGGGAGAAGCAGGCCTCCCGCGGAGCAGGGAGCCCGATGCAGATGCGGGGCTCCATCCCAGGACCCCGGGACCATGACCTGAGCCCAAAGCAGACGCTGAACGACTGAGCCACCCAGGGGCCCCTGTAGCAGTCAGTTTTCAATTGCACACCTTTGCGGCTTGTTTCACCTTCCATCTTTGACATACAAGTGTCCAACATTTCAGAATAGATTTTAAACTCCTTCTTTGCCAATCTTCCAACACAGGGCTGTACATTGCTTTGGTTTTGTTTGTTTTCCTATGACAAAAGGATTTTGAGCCCTCCTACGGTAAAGGTATACATTATTCTTTGTAGCTCTCACAGAGCAGGAAGAGGCACTTAACATTTGAGGAGGAGGAGGAGGAAGGTGAGGCTGAAGAAGTAGAAACTGAAGGTAGCTGGGGAGCAGATGGGTATGGGTGTTGGGACATGTTGACTTGACTATTGGACCTTCCAGGAAGGGCTGAGCTAGGATATGGCCCAGAGGATGGGGAAGAGGGGACTACATGGCCTTCACTGCCTGAAATAGCTCTTGGTAACCTGAGGAATTGGAGTCAGGGGTTGAGCTGGGGTCACGTGCCTGGTTCTGGCGTGGGAATAGAGGTGAACAAGCAAAGGTTGCCAGCTGGGTTCTCTGGGCAGCTGGAAGAAGGAGGAAGGGCTAAAGAGTTATTTTTAATATTATTCAGAGCACAGAAAGAGGATTTCCCAGTAGGGAAAAAAAAGGGATATGATGTAGGTAACACAGATACTTCCAAGGTTCAGGGAGATGCACAGGGTTGGGCGGGGTGGGGGAGTATTTAGGCTGGACGTGGTCGCAAAGCCCTTCTATGAAGACAGTCCTGTGAGTCAACTACTGAATTCACATTTGGGTAACTCTATGCAGATAACCTGCCTATTTTTAAGCCTCAGTTTTCATTCTTTTAACAAATGCTGATTGAGGACTCAACCATTATAGAATGCATAGTACAGCACTATACTAACTGGTTTGGAAGTAGCAACTTAGAAGTAATAGTTATGTCTATTTTTATGGAACTTAGAAGAACATACATATACATATGAAACAACTAGAGAATATAGGATACATACTATTTTACATGGCATTATGTGTTTGGGATAATGTTCAGGGATGGGTTCAGTCAAGAGAGGGTCTTCCTCAAGTAGATGCGTTTTGAGTTAGTACCTGAAGGAAGTTATTGATGTAGAATGACGGGGAAATGGCAGGAAATTGGTTGTTCAAGTACGAGGAATGAACTAGGAAAAGTTTAAATGGCAGTAATTAGCTAATCTAATTAGTAAGGGGACAACAAGCAAATTGGCTTGGCAGGCCTATTGTACCTTGGGGATTCTGCAGCAGTTAACTCGGTTAAGGCATAGTGTTAATGAGGTCACAGTTCAGTCATGTATTCTGGTTAATTTCTGTCTTTTATCCAGCCAGATCCTTTCTCCTCATTCTAAGCAGCTATCTCACACTGTAAGCCCTTAGTCAGAGGGAGTGGGTCTGGACAAGAAAGCAGAGTTGGAAAGAGTAAATCTGTCCCTCAAGGTCACATGCCCATCTCAGAGTGGCTCCAGATTACCATCTTTGAACTGGAAAGCGATACTGTATCCTGGTGGTGGGGAAAGGGGTGCTGAGGGAAAAAGAAGAAATGTTAGGAGAGAAAAAGAGGTAAGATCATTCCCCAATCTGGGGCTTCATGTATATATAATATAAATATAAAATACGGATTAAAATGCCTTCTTTTTAAAAATTTTTTAAAAGATTTTATTTATTTATTTATTTTAGTCAGAGAGAGAACGCAAGCACAAGCAGGGGGGGAGCAGCAGGCAGAGGGAGGAGCAGGCTCCCTGCCTAGCAAGGAGCCTGATGTGGGACTGGATCCCAAGAGGCTGGGATCAGGACCCGAGCGGAAGAAAGATGCTTAACCAACTGAGCCACCCAGGCATTCCCCAAAAATGCCGTCCTTAAAAACGTTGAATGTGGGCGCCTGGGTGGCTCAGTTGGTTAAGCGACTGCCTTCGGCTCAGGTCATGATCCTGGAGTCCCAGGATCGAGTCCCGCATCGGGCTCCCTGCTCGGCAGGGAGTCTGCTTCTCCCTCTGACCCTCCCCTGTCTCATGCTCTCTCTCTCTATCTCATTCTCTCTCTCAATTAAATAAATATAATATTAAAAAAAAAAAACAAAAAAACGTTGAATGTAAGGCAGAGTTCAAGGGAGGGCTCTTGCTCTTTGACATTCAAATAAAATAGGCTCAAAATTTAAAGCAATCCAGGGGCACCTGACTGGCTCAGTCGGTAGAGAATCTCAAGGCTGTGAATTCAAGCCCCACGTCGAGGGTAGAGATTACTTTAAAAAATAAAATCTTTTTTTTTTAAGATTTTATTTTTTTTTTAAAGATTTCATTTATTTATTTGACAGAGAGAGGCAGCGAGAGAGGGAACACAAGTAGGGAGAGTGGGAGAGGGAGAAGCAGGCTCCCCGCTGAGCAGGGAGCCTGATGCAGGGCTCGATTCCAGGACCCTGGGATCATGACCTGAGCCAAAGGCAGCCGCTTAACTGACTGAGCCACCCAGGCGCCCCAAGATTTTATTTATTTATTTGTCAGAGAGAGAGAGAGTGCAAGCAGGGGCAACGACAGGCAGAGAGAGAAGCAGGCTCCCCGCTGAGCAAGGAGCCTGATGCGGGACTGGATCCCAGGACCCGAAGGCAGAGCTTAACCGACTGAGCCATCCAGGCATCCCTAAAAATAAAATCTTAAAAAAAAAATTAAATTGGCATTCCTGGGTGGCTCAGTCAGTTAAGAGTCTGCCTTCGGCTCAGGTCATGATTCCAGAGTCACGGGATCAAGCCCCGCGTGAAGCTCCCTGTGGTGGGGGAGTCTGCTTCTCCCTCTCCCTCGTCTCCTCCCCCCCCCCCACTCATGCTCTCACTCTCTCTCTCTCAAATAAATAAATAAAATCTTTAAAAATTAAGTCAATCCATATCCAATGGAAATCCCCCCAAAAATGCCAATCTCAAGGAGGAGTGGGGAGATGGAGGATTTCTGTTTCCAGGGCCCCGTTTCTAGGGAAGCTGTTTCTCTTCCAAACCAATTAGACCCCAAAGGCGACACAGTCTTGAATTACTTTATCCTCCTTCCCCCTTCCACACTTACTCAGACAAAACTTTCCTGAGTGTGGAAATGAGACCACAGATTTAGAACAAAAGCAGAGGAAGGGCTCACACTATAATAGCATAAACATCTCTCAATGCAACAGCAGGCGCCACCGTTTTGTTTTGTTTTTTTTTTAAGATTTTATTTGTTTAGGGATGCCTAGGTGGCTCAGTTGTTAAGTATCTGCCTTGGGCTCAGGTCATGATCCCAGGGTCCCGGAATGGAGTCCAAGAATGGAGGCTTAGCAGGGAGCCACTTCTCCCTCTGCCTCTGCTTCTTTGTCTCTCATGAATAAAATAAAAATAAAATCTTTAAAAAAATTGTTTTTCTTTATTTGAGAGA